TGTATTTTATCTATATATTAGGAATATTATCAAGGAAAAAAAATTCAAAATTCAAAATTTGGAATTCAATTTCAAGGAAATAATGCATTAAATTTAGATTTTCAATGTGTTTTCCTTATTTACCTTAAAGGGTAAAATCGACACAACAAAAAAGTAATAAATGTCAAAGGACCTACATCTAAAACCAAAAACTCGAGGACTAGACCCAATGACAGCTAATCGTTTTGGACCTAGATCTAAGAACCCCTTATTTGAATCACATGTATTAGTTCTTTATTTGAATATTCATGAATCAATTACGAATCAAGAGCAAAAGGAGTCCATCCATAGTGCACTATATACATGTTTTATACATAGGTGCCAAGCAAAATTCCTATAACCGAAAGGAAGGGAAAAAAAAAAGAGATATTTAGTCAAATACCCATTCTTAGCACTAAAACTATAAATAAACCCCACACCATTTAATTTCTATAAACAAACCCAAAAAAAACCCAAAAAATGACAATCGGCCATATTGAATTTAATTTTGATTATTAAATTACTTTGATGTCCTATTGAGTATTTTAAGCTTGTTTATATGTTTTGGGGTTGGGTTTGCTTTGAGAAATCAATGGCAGTTTTGTAATTTAAAAGAAGTTAAAAGTTTTTTTGTTATGTTATAAATGAGTTTTGGGTGTGTTTCTAAAATCCATTTCATATGGGGTATTTTTATAATTTGGGCTCCTATATTGGGTATATTAGTGAATCTCCCAAAAAATATTGCATCTAAATGTTAAGCAAAATTGCGGAGTGCAAATTTTTTTTTTTTTGGGTCTAAACCATGAGGTGGTCCTGGATGGGCCCCAACTATGGGTGGCACCTTTAAGCCTTAACCACAACCCAGACTAATCCCCACTCACACCGGGTCGGCCCGTAAGGGGTAAAGTGTTGGCCAAAGTGCGGAGTGCAAATTTTAGCCTAGGAGATAAACATATATTCCCACTCAAGAACGTGCCGAAGTGTAAGCGAAGTAATAGCATGTACAATGTATTCTCTACAAGTGATGCATGCATGGTATTATATTTTTTCTATACTTATGTGATAGGTGTACGTGAAATGTATTTGCAATATTTTCGTTTATTGGAATTATTCTGACCAAGACTGGCTTTATTAACTATCAAAACAGTAGGTATATATTATTATTTTTCTCTTTTTTCTTTTGGGTTTCCCTTTTTTAGATTTACCAATATATAAACTCCTGTCGTTTTTTATTTATTTATAACTAGTTAGTTGTAACTAGGTACCTCTATTTTTAATTGTTTTTTTTTAATAACAGAAGCGATAGTCTAAATTATAAAGGGGAGGGGGGGTTTCTCATACATATACTATCAAGGTGTCATGGGAATTCGAACATGAGACCACCGGTCTACAAGTTAAGACCATTTTCCAATGAGTTAGACCCTGTTGGTAACTATTTTAAACCCTCATCGTATATATTTGAGACACAAACATACACTCACATAGAAGCATAAATATTGCCATGTCATTTTCCTAGTCAGCCAGTATGACATTGGTTCTATGACCTCATCATGACCAATCATTATATGTTTGAGTCATGAAGTGACCACTCATTGTATGTTTCAGACATATAAATGACCAATCAAAGGTTGCCATGTGTAATGTAGTTACTGAAATATTCCCTCACTCAGGTTTAAGAGGGCGTAATGAAAGAGCACATATAGCGTGAGTGATGTACGCCTGGTGTACGCGCAATTGTGTGTTTTCGAAATATTCTAGTATTCATTGTAATTAATAATTATTGTAACCAACTTTATTTACTATCAAAACGATAATTAAGTAATTTTCTCTCTATTTCACACTTACTAATATTTAACTTTTATTGTTTTAACTATCTTAATTCGAGACACCGCTATTCTTCATAATTTTAGACCATCATTTCTTCATGCATAACATCATGTCCCTTAGTAAGGCGGATGCCACATACATGGTTGTATGACCTTGTGATGGCTAATCATTGTGTATAGTTGTTGACACAATTAGTGTGCAGACATGGAAAATATGTGTGACCTAACCACGTAAGTTAATAACACCACATCATGGTGTTATAATCACAATTAAAATTTCTTACAAATGAGGGGGCAAATGAGAAAGTTAGTGAGTGTTGCACTCAGACTTAAAATTTCTAGAAAAAGTGACATAGAAAAAACTAGTAGTACCACTCAAAAAACGTTAATTGAATTTTATGAGTTTCAATACATTACAAATTAAATTTTGTTAAAATCTATATAAATAAAGCAAAAGGCAGAGAATGGTCAAACATTCAAAATACCAGAAAATGCCCTTGGTTAATTCAAACATTAAGAATTGAAATTATTAATTAAATGATGATAATATGGTAAATTCAAAATTTTTCATATTAAAAAAATTAAAATTAAAAACAAAATCAGATAATAAGTCTTACTTTTATGAAACATAACTATGCATGTTATTTTTTCTTAATTCTAAAAATAAAATAAAAAATAAAAAAGAAAACAAATTGGCACATGCTGGGGCTAGTCAAATATAAAGAAATCGTTTTAGCATAATGAATTATTTTGTTTTTGTTTTTCAACTTTAGTTTTTATTTTCTTTATTTTCTAGTTTTCAATGATCTGATTTATTGAGCAAAAACACGTGATATCACACAATTACAATTTTGACACGTGCACAAATTTGAAAAATTCGGGCAAAATAACAAAATTCTCAACTCCGATTAAAAGTGTTTTAAAGTTTCGCGGCTGTCCGCGCCCAATTTCTCATTCTTCTTCTTCAACTTCGTCGTCTTCTTCTTTTTTCTCAACCACTGCCACTAGCTCTCAGTTCCAGTGCTGCTCAAATGCGCTTTCACTCCATCGCTCAGAACCTGGACGAGCTCTAATCGGCGTGCAAACACTCCTCCAGAGGTGAATTTCCCTTTTTTCTTTTCGAATTTTCTCTATGTTAGGGTTATCAGATTTTCGAATTGCAAGCCGTGTATTGGTAACGCTTTACATTTTTAGGTTTCGTTCGATCTTTGGTTGCCGAGAAAACTGTGAACAGTAAAAGAAATCGCAATTTTGTCCATTATTAACTTTTATTTTTGTTTTTAGCGGAAAATTTTCCTCAGCTCGGACGAAATTGTTACATTTGGGCTCTGTGTATTTTTTTGGGGGTCGATTTTGTTGTTTAAGAATCTTTTCGAACTTTTTTTAAAGTAAGGGAGCCTCGAATTATGAGAAATTTTGTGTTCGAAAGTGGATTTTCTGTGTAACTCTCGAAGCCCAAATGCTACTGCCGAGTTATCTGGTTGAGATAGGCTTAGTTTTAAGCTGGATGGTTCAGATCTAAGATTTTCTTTTTCCACTGGGTTATACATAAAATTGGCGGGAAAATTGATTTACAGTGAATAATTTTTTTTTCCCTTTTTCCAAAAACAAAAAAAAGTATCAGAAGTATAAAAGCTTGGAATTCTGAATTTTCGTTTTGTTTCTTATGAAGGATTATTAGTCTCTTTCCTTTTGCCTTGTTGGCCTTGATATGCTTTCTCTTTTTCAATAATGAGAATGTTGGTCGTGATACGTGAAAAATACATTTACTGATCTTGCTATGGAAAGTGTCAGTTATTATACCCACTATGAATCAGAACTTTGTGGTGGATTTCTAAAAGGCTTGTGTTCTCCAAAGTTCCCTGTAATTTGTTGTCAAAGTCGCGAAGATGGTAGGAAAAGTTTGGACGATAAGGCAATCTTAAACTTTTGTAGGACGATCTGACGCAACCCACATATTACTTGCATAGTTTGTTGCTGGTGTCGGCATTAATTACTGTATGACCTTGCTCTTCATTTTGGATATGACTTTGTGGACTTGTGCTTTTCTACTTGTTTTGTTTCAGGTAACTAAGGAAGTTAGCCATGGCCCCATCAAGAATATCAAGAAGTATAAATAAGCGGTTTTCTTATATGAATGAGGCTGCTTCTAACAAGTACGGAGAGAATGCTAACAAAACTGGGCAGAAAGTGAGTCCTGACTTTGTTCTGAGGATGTTTATCATCTGAATTGTTCTATATTTAGTCAACAAAAACTGAATTTGAAATCTTGATTTTCTTCCTTCTCCTGAAGCAACAACTTTGCATTGCCATTCTAGGAAGTTACTATGTGATCAGTGTTGGTTTACGTATCGTTATGTATATGCAGATCTCAAATAGCAAACCTCGAGTTTCTTCTGAAGTATTAGAACTGCTTAAAATTAGTAATTGTTAACCAGTTCTATATGCATTTTCCCCCTGTCCTCTCATGTGCAGAAGAGAAAGTTGTCTGCCATGTTAGGGCCTCAATGGACCAAGGAAGAGCTAGAGAATTTCTATGAAGCATATCGTAAGTATGGGAAAGATTGGAAGAAGGTTAGTACAAATTTTATGATACTCTTCACTTGATTAACATGTTTGGGCCAGCCGTAAGCTTACTAATTTACTTATAATTTTTCATTTTAGGTGGCTTCTGTAGTTCGTCACCGATCTGTGGAAATGGTGGAGGCCCTTTACTCTATGAATAAGGTATGTGCGGGATATAGTGTAATTTTATCTTGTAACACAACTGGACACTATCTTGTCCATGTGCATAAAACTTTATGTCTAAAAAATTTGGTATGGTCATGGTTAATTCCTTCTATCCCCAGTGTGTGCAATTCTATGCATAGTGGAATGCTTTTGCCTCCACTCACATAACTCCTGTTTCCAAGTTGTGGCAAGTCCACCATTGCATGGGGTTTTGAGTTTTTTTTATTTATAGAAAAACTGAATAATCTGGTCTTAATTTTCATCAATGTATAAGATTTGGCACCATTTTAATTTGTTGAGCTCTGTAAATTAGATATTTTCCCTGAAAATCTGAACTACATAATAATCAGTTCAATGTAGTTCAGTCAATGCTTGATGAAGTCTCATTCTTTGAGTTTTTTCCAAGCTAAATATGAAAGTAAAATAATATTAGAATTGTCATAGAATCAGTAAAGACATTAAGTTTTGTGTTTAGAATTTGACAAACTATGTTTATGCCATAATCTTGAATTATCTACGTTTCCCCAAGAGATTAATAAATGCCTATGTTTTCTATGTTTTAATCATAACCTATTTATACCATGTGGGTGACTCAGGATTGTTCTATATTTTCAGGCCTATTTATCTCTTCCTGAGGGCGTTGCTTCTGTGGTTGGCCTAATAGCAATGATGACTGACCACTATTGTATACTGGTAAGATTGAACGTTTGTGGTTTTGTAGATCAATCTGTGCACTTACCTTCTAGGAACTATTCTTGTGGGTAATATTTTGGTACTTCAAAATGGTTTTCCTTTGTTTAGTGCAAATCCATGTTTAGTTGTTCTGGTACTTCTACAAACACTGCATGGGGAAGGGAAACTTTACCTTTTGCCATGAAATCTTTAAGAACATGAAAACAAAAAGTAGCTGACTGAAGGGGGGAAAAAAAGGAGGCTTTTATGACCAAAAAAAGAAGGTTTCTTTTGCAATAGTGCAGGCCTTTGCTATTTCTTTGACCAGTGGTTTGGATTGTGTCCTGTAGGCTGTAACTTATACTCCTTGTTCCCCAACCTGTAGTTTGCTTTTCAAATTGGAGTGCCTCTTCTTTAGTTAATTTTGTAGCTAAATGAGGATATGTTTGTATTGTTCTATTAGAGAGGATTTCATGTCCCCTGCTTTATAATTGCATCCTTCATTGCAATAAAGCTTCCATTTCTTTTTAAAATGAAAAAGAAAGGAACGTCAAGGGATATAGATTATTTATATTTTTTATTTTGTTTTCTGGTTGGCTGGTTAAACATGTTTTTCAACCTAAGGAATAGTTGAAATTCACTGGTCTGAATTTCATCATTGTTTCTATTCATTGAAGGGTTTCCTAGCTGTTAATACAACTTTTTTTCTAAGGGGAAATGAAAACCTGGCATTGGTTCTATTGCTAAAGCAAACTGTAATGAAGTTCCTTCTTTAAGAAATATCCATTTATGGTGAGCAGCATGTGCATATGTGTTAGTTTATTAATGAGTTTAATGATCTAGTAATACTCTTCTGTTGATATCAATTGGGCTATGTATTGGAAATGACCCACATGGAACTCACATAGAGGACTCTGGCCTTACAGGGAGGAAGTGACAGTGAACAAGAAAACAATGACGATGCAGAAACCTCTAGGAAACCCCAAAAGCATGCAAGGTCAAAACTTCGGAGTGAGTCCTCAAAAGAATTAGAAGGACATATTCCAGATTTTTCAGAGTCCCATCCAATGGCATCAACTAGTGACTGCTTGTCACCGCTGAAGAATAGGCGCTCAGGTGGGAAATTATTGTGATCTGTGTGTGTGTCTGGGTCAGCACATGTACAATTTGCATATCTTTTTTCCATTTGTTTTTTACTTTGTGGTTATCTTTTACTCATTTGTGGCTTGGAACCGAAGCTGTTTTGCTGCTGCCTTTTTATGCTGCTCGAGTCATATTTTCTCACTATTATTTAAAAGCAAAGCTTCTACACTTCATAGGAAAATATTGTGCAACTTGGTGGGAAAATGTCAATTGTTGCTTCTTGTTGACCCTTGTCTTTGGAAAAGAGAAATTGGTAGCGGATGCAAGAAAATGGTGTAGGAGCAAAAGAGGGAAACAGGTTTATTTTAATTAATTTTTATTTATAAAAATTAGAATTTAGGGATTTAGTTATTTATTAACGTATTTTACTATTGCAGGATTACCTCTATAAATATGGTCTATTGTAATGGAATTCAAGAGTTTTATTGAATTGAGATTAACTTTTCTTGCTCTTATTCTACTCCTCACTTCTCTCTCTCTCTCTCTCTCTCTCTCTCTCTCTACTTTTTTCACTTTTCTATTTTCTTCTTGGTTCTACTTCAAAAATTCCATCGTCCCCCTTTGGGTCTATTTTACATTATATGTTCTCTTTAATGGTGCTGCCATTAATATGTTTTGAATTTGTTTCAGGAATAAGGCCTCATGCTGTTAAAAAAAGGACTCCTCGAGTCCCTGTTGCATATTCTAATGATCAAGATAATAGTAGAAAGTATTCTCCGCCTGCCAGGCAAGGTTTAAAACTCAATGTGGATGCTAACAATAATGATGTTGCTCATGAGATAGCATTGGCATTGACTGAGGCCTCGCATAGAGGTGGTTCTCCCCTAGTTTCTTGGACGCCTAAGAGAAAAGCCAAAGGCACTACACCATCACCTGTTCGGAATGGTGAAAGGATGGTGAGATTATTATTTTAAAAAAATCTTCATTGCTTTTCTAGACTTATTTCAAGATGATAATTTAATCATTCATTATTGTTTCTGACATTTAGCGTGCAGAATCAGAAATGACTAATGCCAGGCTCCATGGTTGTGAAATGGATGTGGGTGGTTGTGAATTAAGCTTAGGTAGCACTGAAGCTGACAATGATTACTATGACAGAAATGAAAAGTACGCAATGGGTAGAGAAGGGACTGGTACTCTGGAAGTTCAGCAGAGGAGGAAGAGATACTTTGTAAAGAAGAAAGAAGTTGACGAAAGTAAAAACGAACATGTTGAGTTCATAAAAGAAGCTTGCAGTGGAACAGAGGAAGGACATAAATTAGGTGCTATCAAAAGAAAACTTGATACTAAAGTTGCGAAAAGTGCTAGGTCCTTCTACAAGGATACAAGAAAGAAAAGTAAAAAAGCTCTGGTTGGAGGAGGTATGTTTTCAAATATTTAAGCCAAGCTCCCTCCCCCCTTTAATTTAAAGTCCATTCCTAGCATATTAGAGTAACTATGTTTTTAACTTTGGATGCTTGTTCAGTTGTGCAGATGTCAAACCTTATTAGAAGTCGTAAGGCGGTGACGACTGCACAGAGTTCGCCTCCCCCGGCTCAGCCGTCAGCTGCCAATGCTCCAGCACAAATGGACCACTTGCCGGTTGGTCCCGGGGTCTCCCATGAGCCAGCGTCATCAGCGTCATCAGTGGCGCAACCTGTTAGCGTCAGGCGTCGTCACCGTCCCCCCAGCACGACCGACACAACATCGACATCTGCTACTGGTGCGTCGCAGTCAAACAGTCAGGTGATTGCTTTGACAGCGAAGGTGGCCAAGCTTGAGACCCAACTTGCCTCGTTTAGTACTCAGATGTCACAGTTTCTAGAGTCCCTCACTCGGTCCGGCATTCCAATCTCGCATTTTGGTCCCTTGTAGACCTCCGAGCCCTTCCAACCCGAGCTTGGCCATCACACCTCCACCCTTGTCGACAATGTCCAGACCTCCGAGCCGCATTTGCAAGACGACCACGTAGATTTTGGAACATTTTTTGATTAGTTTTTTACTTTCTTAATTACATTTTAAACATTTCTCTTGTACTATATATGTATATTATTTTATTAAAAAAACATTTCTCTTCATTCCATTTTTTATTGCAATTTCATTTTATTACCAAAAAAAAAAAACCAATTTTTTTTTTTGTACAAAATTTTAATAAAATATATTTTATTTTTACGCGACGCAACACTTTTTGTCGCGCCAATTCACGTTTTTACAAAATAAAAATATATATATTTTTTATTTTTGCTCGACAAAAGGCTTCGTCTCGCAAAAAAGAAAAAGCGACTAAGACAATTTCATCGCGCTACACAAGTCATCGTGCAAACGTTTGCGACACGAACAGTTTTCTCGTCCCTACATTTCTGTGCGACAAATAGAAATCGTCACGCTGTGTACTCGCAACGAACGTACTGTCGTCGCGCAAAGGTTTGAGAGACGAACATTTGTCTCGTCCCTAAACTTTTGTGCAACGAGGTTAATCGTCGCTCACGTTTTCACGACCAATTAAAAACCTTTGTCGCACAAAGTTTTTTTTTCACGATCTTTGCACTACGGATTTAGCGCGCTGAAGTTTGTGCGACTCAAATGTGCTTTGCACGACCAAATCATCTTCGTCGCGCAAATAGTAAAATGTGGTAGTGTGTGGTATGATAATTGTGTTGTGTGCAGATTTTGCGACCCGATGACGAGAGATCATGCTGTTTTCATGTATGTGTTTGCCTGGTGCCGTTACTTTTTCCATATCTGTATTTAATTTGCCTTTATACGTTGAGTAGGCAGATCCATCCACGCTCCAGTTTGTACTTTTTGATTTGTTACAATTAATTTTGCATCATAAAGGCCTAAGATTGATCTTTTCTTTTCTCCCCTCCATATTTTGCTGGTCACGTTTGGCTCGTCAAGTTGTGCGGCAGGGAAGTATTCAACTCAAGCACATCTAGAGGTTTCGATGTCAAAAAACCTGTGGTTGTGCCACCTAAAAGATCATCCGAACCTGTAGTTGCGACATCTAAATATGATTCTTACGAAATTCAGATGTGATGTTGTCGAATCAATGATTTACCAGATGCTTATAACTTTTGTAATTTGTAACCATATCAATTTGTTTCGCTAGTCTCAGTTATATTGCGAGTATTTATTTGAATCACTTGTATTTGTTCTTTATTAACAAGAATATTCATAAATCAATTACATGTTTTATAAACACACAAATAAAAGCATAATTCTTGCCAATTTCCTAGTCTGCAAGTATGACAAGGTTATATGACCTGTGGTAACCAATCATTGTGTGTTTTGATACAGGAATTGACCAATCAAAGGCTGCCATGTGTAATGTAGTTGGCGGCAATTAATGTTCACCCTTGGCAAATCTGACCTGACCTAGCCGCCACTATAAATTGGTTATGATGGTAGAGGTGGCCGTCATGCAAGACCTCACAGAGAGCATCGTTCTTTCCAAAGCTGGTATTGGATTGGGGTTCTCGTGTATTTGGCCTTGTTCTGAAGAGAAATGAAGGCAAAACGAAGCATCCTTCATTTCTCAAACAGAAAGAGACTCAAACACAAACATGTTTATGGTTCAGGTTATGAATCAGAAACTTTACATCGAATCGATGATTTACCAGACAGTGGATCAGCTATTTGACTCCAGAAAGATGTGACAGGAAATCTATTCCTCAATCTGAAGATGGATTTCCTTCCTTGTGGAAAGATGGCACTTGCAAACTAGATGAGTTTATAAGGAAAAATGCGGAAGCCATCTATGCTGCAAATCTGAACCTTCTTGCATTTTCTGGGCAAAAACTACATGGTGAACGGCTGGTCTTGATGGTTTGGAAATCATCAGTATGTAGTTGGGCGGCCTAAAAGATGATGTGTTGGTGTACTTTGTAATTTTATATTTATCAGATTCATCGAATCTATGATTTACCAGATGTTTGTAATTAGATTATAACTTTTTGTAGCACAATATTTGCAACCAGTGGGGGAGCCAGGAATCTTACCACAAGGGGTGTTAGTGTAAAAGTCCCAATAAAAATTTAGGATGGAAAAAAAATATTGAAAATGAAATCATAGTACTTTCATTCATAATTCATAACGGAAAAAACATTACAAGCTATAATTGTCCACGACGAGGTCCTTTTTGTAGATATGATCTTCGGACCTCATCTCTCATATTAGCATCATAATCTATCATTCGAGTTCTTAATCCAGGGTCCGCTTGAAGGTTACCAAAAACACCATCTAACTGACTTTGTCTTGAACTCGGACCCAAAACACCATCTAACTGACTTTGTCTTGAACTTGGAGTTCTTGAACTACCAACATTATTTGAACTATCAACATTATCCGAACTACCCGTACCCGATGATGACTTTCTCTTAAAAAAACCATTCCATAATAACTCTACATATACAAAATAATCAAAATAAATACTCACAATATAAACAAACCATCAACATAATCAAAATAATTATGAATTGGATTTCAATTAAATTAAATATATTCTACATATACAAAATAATGAAAATAAATACTCACAATATAAACAAACCATCAACATAATCAAAATAATTATGAATTGGATTTCAATTAAATTAAATATATTCTACATATACAAAATAATGAAAATAAAAACTCACAATATTAACAAAATATCAATATAATCAAAATAAATATGAATTGGATTTCAATTAAATTAAATATATATTCTACATATACAAAATAATGAAAATAAAAACTCACAATATAATCAAAATAAATATGAATTGGGTTTCAATTAAATTAAATATATCATACATAGCAACATAGGGTTTAGAACTTACTTGAATTGTGAAATTTCACAATAACAATGAGAAAAAACAAAGAGAGTAGTTGGTTGCACCGCCACATGGCGACGACGACGGCAGCAAGGGAGGAAATGGAGTTGAGGGTTTGAGGGAGGGGGGGATTGAGTTGGGAACTTAGGGTTGGAGGAGAAAACAAAAAAATTTGGGGTTTAAGAATGGAGGAATTTGGTCTGTGAAGAGAGGGATACGCTGGCCTTTTTTTTTTTTTTTTTAAAGACCTGGCCCAAAACGACGTCGTTTTGCCCAGGCTATTTTTTTTAAAAAAGGAAGCCCGCACACAGCCTTTTTCTTCAGCTTGCAAACCCTTGGTTCTTTCAGACACCAAGTCGTCGACCACTTGGTGTGTAGCTCCAAGAGGTCGCACCAGCAGCTCCAAAGGGACCTCTAAGCTTATTTCCATGGCTTCCAAGAGGTCGTGCGACCCCACTGACCCCACTATGGCTCCGCCTCTATTTGCAACGTAATTAATAGAATGGTTGTGCTCATGTGTAAGTATATATATTATATTGCTTTAGGCTCAATTTGGGATTGCTATCACTTTTAAAAAAAGTTGCTTCTGCTGTGCTTTGAAAATAATTAGCTGTAAAGTAAAGCAGCTCCATGTTTGGTAAACAATATTTTTAAAGTGCTGTTAGTACAAAAAGTAGTGTCAAAACTGTTTGGTAAATTTTAATATAAAATTGTTGTAACTGTGAATAATGACTAAAATAGACATGATATTGAAAGTGTTATGTACTAATCATGTGGTGGCAGTGGTGGTGATGGAGATGAAGGTGGAGTTGGTGGTTGTGGTAGTGGTGGTGGTAGGGATGGCGGTTGTGGAGGTGGTGATGGTGGTGGCAGTGGCAGCGTGGTGGTGGATATGGAGGTTTTGGAGGAGGGGGGAGTTGTGGTCAAAGGCGGAGCCAATGCAGGCCCACAAGGGTCAGCCGACCCTCCTGAAATTCCTTAATTCACCTTGCATTCAATACTATTTACCCTTTGTATATAAATTATTATTAATATATGACCCTTCTCAATCTCAGCTTTCCTTTTTTCTTTTCTTTACCTTTTTTTTAATAACTTCTTAATTAAAGAACTACTAACCTAAAAGCTAAAGGAGACAACCTTTTGCACTGCTTAAATTAACCCTATTCTATTTCAACTTTGCACTGCGTGAATTAAAAGTCTTCGTTTGCATCAATTATTCAATTCTTTTTTTCTCTCCAACTCTACAGCAAGAATTCAACTTTGTTTCACTGAATTGTGATGACTAATCCAATAAGTCTTTAACCCTAATAGTGTAATTTTTTTTTGTGTAGTTTTTTTATTTTTATAGTTCATTGTATTTGTGGTCTGTTAATTAGTTATTTATTTATTATCTCAAATCAAGAACAATAATCTTTATATGATTTCTTTATCATCTGATTTCTGAAATTTAATTTTAAAACAGTTATAGAGAAATATTCTGATTTATGAACGATTGTGAATGTATTCGAATGATTTATGAGTTATTACTAAAGACTTTGTTTTTTTATATAAATTTATCTTGTTATGCGATGATTTTAATTTTTGAGGTTGACCCTCCTTCCTTCTCATTCTGGCTCCGCCACTGGTTGTGGTGGTGGTGGTGGTGGTGGAGGTGGAGGAGGTGGAGGAGGTGGAGGTGGAGGTGGTGGTGGAGGTGGAGGTGGTGGTTGTGGTGGTGGCGGCAGAGGTTGAGGAGGAGGAGGACATGGTGGTGGCGATGGCAATGGTTGTGGATGTAGTGAATGTGGTGGTGCAAGTGGTGGAGTTAGATGTGGAAGTGGAGGGGGTGTCATTTTTTTAAAATGAATGATGGTATTTTGGGAATTAAAAGAATTCATTAAAAGCTCATCTCTACTTCTTTTGAAAACAGTTTTGAAAAGCAACCTAGAGCATACTTTTAAAAGTTTTTGTCAAAAGGCCACTGCTTTTAAAATAATTGTTATATTTTATTTTTACCAAACACCATAAATTGCTTAACTTTAAAGTGAAACAGGTTTTTGGCGAAAAAAACAAATCCCAAACGGGGCCTTATTACAACTCACAATTTCCCTCATAGATATTATATATTAATCTACAAAGAAGTTTATCTAAAAGATTACAATCTTTCTCCAAAAAAAAAGGATTACAATCTAATTTCTTATATTTTATATGCTCCTCCAAAGCATACTCGCAATAACCACAAAGTGCTCGTTCGAGATTACTTTTTTAGGAAGCACTTATGCTTATAAGCGCTTTTAGTAAAAGTGCTTTTATTATAAAGATGTTGAAATTTTCTTAAGAAATCGAAGTGCTTCTTAGAAAAGCACTTTAGAGTGTTTGGCAGGTGCTTCTCCAGAAAGCGCTTCTATGGACCATAAACACTTCTAAATTTTTCTGCCAAATGTTATCAGAAGCGCTTTTGGTTGCAAAAAAGTGCTTTTAACCCTTCCAGAAGGACTCCCAAACGGTCTTTTGTAATTTGTTCAAAGGCCAGATATATTTATTATTATTTTTTTCTCGATCTAAAGGTATTCGTCTCAACACTATACAATAAATAGGCACCTAGAGGGGGCTATAGTCCTTATCGTCCTTCACAAAAATCCTAGCTAGGTCCTATGTGTAGCTTATTAATAAAATGTATGTTTCTTGTAAAAAAAAAATAATAAAGAGAGGACGAATTTATTAGTTAAAGTATTTTCATAAATATTTTTCATATAAAAGGAAATCAAATTTGTATATAAAAGTTGAGCAAAATTGCAAATTGTAAATAAAACACATCCTTGTGATAGAGCCCCCTGGCGTGCAAGAGGAGAAATGAACTAGTACTTATAGCACGTTTCATGAAAATGATACATGCACAATGTTATATTTTATCTATACTTGCATGGCACGTAAGGCAATATATATTTGCTGTCTTTTTAAACTATCGTACAAATTATTGTAATTATTGTCGCCAACTTTATCAAAACAATAACTCTTATTTTTTAAAATATTTTAGACTTACCAATAATTCAACTTTCATATTTGATTACACTGATATTTCTTCTTACATCCTTAGCAAAGGGGTTGCCCCTCTTGAACCTCCCTATAAAACACAAAATAAAAG